CAGGGGCCCAGCTCAGCAGAGCAGCACCCTGGGCCCTTGGGATGGGAGGAAAGTGGCTGCAGGATCAACAGCACCACTTTGGTCACTGCACAAATGCAATTTCCTCCTTGTACTGCCCCTGCCTCGAGCACCAATGACTTGGGTTATCCTTCTCTGGCAAACTGGGCTTTGTGTCCCACTGAATTCCACCTGAAATGCTCACTTCTGACATTTATGAGACTCTCATTCCTGATTGATCCAGAATGCAGACCTTTGTGACCACTCTGAAAATTCATTTGTACTTGGAGATGTTCCAGGTACAGAGCTATGGAAAATGCTTTGTTTCCTTGGCAAATAAATCCTGGGAGCTCAGGTGCATTTGTACTGAATGGCAGCATGCAAAGGAAAAGACAAAAAGAGCAAGCAGGTTGCAAGAGACTCTATAACTTGTCATCACATTCTCAAGAAATTAGACAGACAAAATATTATCACAAAGGCAGTGGGCTTCGGTGGAGGAAGATAATTGCAATAATACAATTTCTCTGTGGAATTTCTAACTCAGACATATGAATTCATACATCCCATTATTTCCCATCTTTTATGGTAGATAGAAGAGGAAGCAAACACGTGATTGCAGCACAGAACACCTTCCACTGGAATATCACCCTGATAAATGCAAACTGACACAGAGTTCTAATTTGTTTATTCTGATTGGAAATCACAGTGTGCAGAATCTTAATGAGCCATTGGGTGGTGATCACCGACCCCAGGCACATTTGTCTTGCTTTGTGTTTGCTGCTTGTGGCAGCTCTTTAATTTGGGTGTCAGTGCCCCCTTTGAGACAGTTTTTTAAAGGTGCTGTTTGTGCTCAGGCTGCTGCTGGACAGGAGACACCCAGGTGATTCTGATGCACTGAAGTTCATCTCTTCATCTGCTCTGAGAAGTCAGCCAACAGCATCCCATTCACTACAGGAGCTTTAAAAGAGGCTGTGAGCTAAGAATCTGATTTTAATATGGTCTGGGTACCACTTGCAGCAATGTGTGGGACAATGTCAGTGCCTGGATTCTCAGGTGATAACATTTTGCAAAGCGATCTTTTTGTGTGGTGGGAATCTGACAAGGCCGGTTTGTCTTGGGACCATCCAGAGGAATTTTCTGTGGATAAGAGCTGCCAGTGCACTGTGCCATCAGATCGTTACAGGGCTCAGTGTGCAGGAGGATTTGGCTCAGTGTTACTCCTGGCTCCAGCAGGAAACAACCACTAAATTCAGCCTGCAAGATCCGGGGAAGGGAGGAGCAGTCTGTTGGACTCTCCTCTGCTCAGGCTGTGTTTGAGCACAGCTGGTTTGAACATTTCTGCTCTCCCTGCCATCCCTGTGCTGACTCCTGTGCTGTCAGAAATAAAAGCTGCTCCTTGTCACCCTCCAGGACCTCCATGCCATGTGGAACCACTCTGGTGATCCCTCACAAGAATTCCAGTGTCCTTATCTGCTCCCCTCAGTCCTTCATGGTGCAAACATTGTTGACTTGTTACATTTTCTAGTCTATTTATGCACCCTCACGAGCCTCACTCTCTTCATCTACATCCATCACTACATTTCCTCAGAATCTTCCAGTTCCCCATTAACTGCTGTTCACTCAGTTTCCTTCTAAATTTCTATCAGTCCCTTTTCTGTGTATTCTGCCACATGATTTTGGGTACAGAAATAGAAGAACTGCATCTTTTTTCCTCCCCTATATTTCTAAAACTTTAAAAATGACAGAATTGCTGAAATCTCTGGGCTGTATGCGTGATAAGCACAATAAATAGCAGCGTGGCACATCACAGAGCAGGTTAACCTCACATTTCAGATTCTCAGAAGCAGTAAATTCACACAACTCTTTCCAGCAAACCCACCCTGGCCCAGGGTATTCACCTCCTAAGTTATTAGTGCTCAAATGGGTCCAAATGATAGCAGTTTAAGTAAAGTACTGAACTCATCTACTTTATTCTTAATTTATAGTGGTGCTTAGGGGATGTGCAGATATTTAAAATGAGTAAAATCAATTAACTTGTGATCCAATTATTTGTCTTAGCCACTGTGGGGTTTTATTTTAGAGTACTGGTTCAGATTTTCCCAGTTAAGCTTTGAGAGTATAAACCTTTCACTGTGAAATATGAGGAACCTGTGGTTGTTTTTTCTCTGTTTCCAAATCTAATTCCTATTTTTGCTCTTTCTTAGTTTTTAAATTCCCTTTTTACTTTTATTTTTGAAAGGGACATGGTATAAGTGAAACACATTTTTCTAAACATTGGGAGATTTATTCCTTAAATAAAGGTGACTGAACAGACAAAAGAGTTCACCTTCTAGATAAAATAAACTATATTTTTCTAGGCCACACGGTTTCACAGTAGATATGTGTCTTTTGCAATCACAAATCTGTGATTTATTACACTTTTCACGTTATAAATTTAGAGCAGACCTCTGTGACAACTTCTGTGGTCTGATCATTCTGCTTTTCCATCCATCTTGAACAGATTTTAGTCTAATGTTCCAGACAGCTCCGAATATCTGTGTTTGTATGGCTGTTTCCAAAATGTGGAGGACGCCAGGGGAGAGGGTACCACTGTAGCTGGAATTGTTTGGCTAGGCACAGCCTTTCCCTGGGGATGTTGGCATTTCCTTGACCTGCAGGAGGCAGAAGCTCAGCAGTGCCGTGCCCTCAGCAGGTCCTTGTGCCCCTTCTCCATGCAGCTGTGAAGTTACTGAGAGCTCTTCCTAAACAAGGGGAAAATAGGGATGCAGAAGAAAGCCAATCCCAGCTGAGACATCCTTGGTTTAGAGATCCTCAGCCTGAAATTCCATATTTTTTTAACTATCTGGCACACCATGGCAACCTTTTGATCACAGTCTGGCACTGGTGGGGTAAAAATAATAAATTTCTTGCACAGGCTTCACAATATTGTATCTGAAGAAAACAGCCATATCTTTTAATATTTTGCCTGAACAGCTCTTACAGTTCCCAAGGTGAGCTAAAGAGTACTGAACACTTAATTGAATCAGACTGGAGGATTAAGGAAAAGATTTTTCCCAAGGATCAATATGAATTAGGAGCAGATGCCTGGTCAAATCTAAGGGTTACATTCTTCAGTATTAGGCTCCTTGAAGTCTGGTCACCTTTTTATGCAGCTGAATGGAAATTGTTGGGTACTGAACACTTGTGGGGTAAAATTCTGACCTTTATGGTTCTGATGTCTCATATTGTACATGCTCAAGTTGAGACAATATGAAATAACATAAAATATCAATTGGGCTAATTGGTTCTTTTCAATCAGAGTAAGAGGTACCCAAGTCTGCTTGATGGTGACAGCATTTGGCTGAGCTGGAAGGAGCACAATCTTGGTAATCATTCTTCTGTTATTTCCAAGATTTTTAATAGAGTTTTCCTTTTAATTTGTTTCAAAGCAAGTGAAAATATTGTTGTATTATCATTTAGAGTTAATTAAACTTCAAATGAGCTTAATGAACTGTCTGAAACAAAGCTCAATCACAACCTGTTACTTATTAACCATCAAAATCAAAAGAATCTTTAAATTCTTTGTTAGATACACCAAGGAACATAGAAATGACATATTAATGTCATCCTTTTATGAAATCTGGTTTAAGGCTGGAAAGCTTGAACTGAATGCATGCACTCAAATTATACAGAAAAAATGAAAAAGGGTTTGAAAAGATAAATCCAATCTATTGGAAAAAGAAGAAAAACAAAGATAACTGAACACAGGGGAAGACATAGTCATCTTTTCTTTATTTTTATATGAAGAAATCCACTTTACCTACTATTTGTCCAGATTGGGAAATCTATATATTAATAAAATGCCATTTTCAGGATTCGGTATTTTCCCAAACTGCTCTGCAGTGTTATGACTTCTGGTGTTCTGTAAGACAGGGAAAAAGACATTTAGTTTATTCAGGTCTTGAAGCCACTTGGGTGACTCTTGCCCTTGAGTGATGCATTGTCACCAACGATGCAGCTTTTAAGGAGCACACGTACAGCAAAACCTATTTGTGCCATTAAAGTTTGTAATTTTGGAATTTTGAAGGCTTAATCCCTAGAAATGCTAAGATTTCCTAATGATCTGTAATGGCAGTGCTGATGTTCAGCACTTCTCAGGATTAGGTCTGTTATCAGCCTGGTTTATCCACCTCCAAAGCAGGTATTATCTTATCACTCTTCTATACAGTGCTTTTAGCACGTCAACCTCAAGTACTTGAAAGGTGAGGAGTGTTATTAAGTCTGACCCTTGCAAGCTTTTCCAATGGTTTGCTTAATGTTTTTTTCCTACATAAATAAGAATGATGGAGAATAAACTAGAATTTTCTTGCAGGGTTGAATCATCCAGCAACGCATTTCACAAGGTCATAAAAAAATCCTTCCACTACAAAAAGAAAGCAGCTCTGACTTTTAGTTATGCAGACAAAGTGGTAGCATGAGGTCCAATTATTTTTGAGTGTCTTAGAGCAAGGCCTCAAAAAAATGCTCTGGGAATGGCTTTTGTGAGACCTCCTTTGTGTCTTGACAACAGTGCAGTGAAAAACAAATGTGTGTGGGATAATTCATGAAAAAAAAAAAGTGTGAAATACAAAACTGGATTTATTTGTAAATAAAAGTGGATTTGAAGGCAACAGGGATCTGTACAAGGGTGATTTCTCTTCCCTCAGTTCCCTTTCTGGGAACTGCGGGTCTCTTCATGCTTCACTTTCCAGTAATATGAGCTGAACTGTCTTCTTGTGATCAGAACCTTCCCAAGCTCCATCCCTATCACATCACTGCTTATCTGCCATCTATTAAGTGGAGAGCAGCTGAAGCTGTGCTACCTCGTATTTCACAAGTGAGAATGCATTATTTAAAGTTTCGGTCAAGGATTCCATCTTCCTCCTGCTGGGGTAAATAATTAATGCTGCCTTGGATATTTCTTGTGTGTGTGTGTGGTTATTATGTCAAAATAGTAATGATTTCCTCTGTGTTTTTTTTTCCAGTTCCAGGCCACAGTGAAGGAGGGGGTCACAGGTGTAATAGTGAATTTAACCGTGGGTGACCGGGACGACCCCGCCACCGGGGCGTGGAGAGCTGTCTACTCCATCATCAATGGGAATCCAGGGCAGAGCTTTGAGATCCACACCAACCCCCAGACTAATGAGGGAATGCTCTCTGTTGTCAAGGTAAGAACAGTCTCCTCCTGCTCTGTATTTTTGCTGTCAGGTTCATCCCTGGGTTCACTGCATAAAACAAGGCACAGCACGGATAGGTTATTGGAAGATGTAAAGTTGCCTTCCAGCCCTTGTCCAAACTGTGTGTATAACCCCTTCTTGTGTCACAGTAGCATTTTTTTAGTCAGAAGGACTGGCTGTTCCTAGTTGTTGTGCTTAAATAACAGCCAGGGTTGCAGTAAGTATCACAATTAATAATGACATTTGACAACAAAGTTTTGTTTGTTGCTGGAGGTGCAATTAGAATTCAAGAGCCCCGTTTTGTTCTCACTCAGAGAACACATGCAAGTAGCAGGGAAGAAAAGGACATGGATTAAGAGAGAATCCGTGTTTCCAAAGTGGATTGGTCCCACATTTCTAAAGTCTCATAGGAAAATTTATTGCCTGTCTTTGTATGAAGACAATCCCGTGTCTCAAACTTAACAGATACAAAAAAGAATAAGAAAATAGCCCTGTTTGCTGCCTGTGCCAGAATGCTCTCTTCTTGGCTTCAGAAGAGGCATTGTCAATTCTTAAGACAAATGCATGTATTTGCCTTTGGTTTCAGGACAGACATTGAGAAAGCAGCTTGTGTTATTGTCATGAGTAGCTACTGAGTGTGACTCATTTGTTTGTTAAATGCATGCTACATAAAAATAAACATGTATAGATGAGCACTGAATTGTGTCTATGAGGTATGGCAAAAAAATGTGAGCTCTTGGACAGGGGGATGTCTCCATGGCTTTTAAGTCCATTATGTTTATTATCTTCCATAAGAACTGAGTGTGTCTAATCCTGAACTCTCATCAAGTTCCACGTGCAGGGAATGTTGTCCTCCCTTTCTAGATAATTCTGCTGCCTGCAAGTTTGCTGTGGGCTAAAGGAAAAAGCATTAAGCATTGTCTTTGACCTTTGCTCTCTGATCTTCCACTTTGCAGCCTTTAGACTACGAGATTTCAGCCTTTCACACGCTGCTGATCAAAGTGGAAAACGAAGACCCGCTGATCCCAGACATCGCCTACGGCCCCAGCTCCACGGCCACCGTGCAGATCACCGTGGAGGACGTCAACGAGGGCCCCGTGTTCCACCCAAACCCCATGGCAGTGACCAAGCAGGAGAACATCCCCGTTGGCAGCGTGGTGCTCACTGTGAATGCCACCGACCCGGACACTCTGCAGCACCAGACCATCAGGTGAGAGCAGTGCTGTTACTGTGATATTTTTATTTTTCTCTTATTTTAGCTGAGAAGCTTCAGAAATGTAAACAATGACTATCTGGTGGCTGTGGAGTGTGGTCTGGAAGTTGTTTACCAACAGGGGCATCTTTGATTGGTCCGTGTAGATTGTTTCTGTTTAATGACCAACCATGGTCCAGCTCTGAACATGCTTAATGAACAACGATAGTGGACTCTCTGAACAGTCACAGGTTTTTGTTTTTCATTCCATTCCATTCCCTTCTAACTTTCTAATAGATCCTTTCTCTCTATTCTTTTTAATATAGTTTTAGTATAGCATTTTAATATAACATAATATCATAAAATAATAAATCAACCTTCTGAAATATAGACTCAAGGTTCTCATGTCTTCCCTTATCCTGGAGACCCTCGAACACAACCACACAGTTCCCTCTCATTTTCATCCTCCACCAAGTGGGGATGTCTTCTGTGCCCAAGAATTTGCCTGCCAGTGCAGAATTATGTTTAACTTAGTAAGAAGTTACAATTTATATTTTGTCCTGCAATTAGAGATTCTGTTTGTTGAAAACAAAGGAGTGCATTAGACAAACAACAATCATTTTCCACACCATGACGTTCCTACAGTAGAACAATCAAGAGCCACAAGGAATAGACTTGGCGTAACATACTTTCAAAATTACTTTTAACCTGCTTGTTTATTCCTCTTCCTTCATGAGAGCCAGGGAAGACATATAAAATTTAAAATATCTATAGAAGTGATGCATCTGTTTTACATAGGGTTTAAATCAATTTATGACCACTTATAGTGTCCCTCAGTAAAATAATGACCATCCATCTACTTTCAAGAGCTGAGAAAATATTTCACAGTGAAAGACTGAAGCTAAAGGAAGCTAAGACTTGGCCTTGTGCAGATAAATGAAAATAAATTATTATTTCTGTGCTGTGATAATATAATCCCACACTTGTGCCACTTTGCAAGGAGCAAACCTGGGTATTACGTGTCATCTTCTTCTATTTTGATCCACCTGGTTTGGTCTTTTGCCGCTTCAGATTCTATGAAAAATTAAAAAAAACAACCACTTTGTTCTCTAAAACTAAATTGGCTTTTTCATCATTTGAGAATTACAGGTTAGGCACTACCACTACAACCTACAGCTGTGTTTAATTTTTCATTTCTCCTTGTAAGTATCATTTTCCCCAGGTCTCAGTGTATATAAAAGGGGATAAACTCCTTGTGAGAATGACTTCAAAGCTGCAGCTGAACAATGGCTCTGTCAATCCAGAGCATGGGCAGAGATCTCTCTGCTGTCACAGGGTTATTTAGCAGTGATTGTGCAGTCCTTAAAGAAGGTTTGACACGTGTACTGTTCTACAATAAAGAAAGCTGCTGATCTTGGAGACGTTCTCTGTCAGCAGCAAGTCTTGGTGAAAATGTCACTGCAAAGGACTTGGATTTGAATGATGAGGAGGTGAATTTAAGCAGGAGAGTGTGCTCATCTCTGAGAAAGGAGGAAAAAGGCAAGGCAGGTAATTAAAAGTTCCAGTTCTCTGCATCACCTCAAAGATAATGTTGTTAATGACATTAATAATTCAGCTTTTCTCCTTCTACTTCTACCACTGAAATACCAGTTTATCTGCAGGATGATTCTTAGCACATTGTTTCCCTTGTTTTCTAAATGGATTTATTTATAGAATAATTTCTTATTCTTAAGTTTAGCTTTTGCTCCAAAACCCCCTTATTTCACACACAAAAATTTGTGCCTATGGATGGAATTTCTGTTGCTTGTCAGGCAGGGTAATGTGACCCTCAGCAGCTTTGCTCAGAACCTGGCTTGTGCAGGTATTTATTTCCTTTGGGTTTTGCACTGAGTTTAAGAAATTAATTTATTGGTGCTGTCCATAATTTATGTATTTTCATGGGAGATGGGAAAACTAACATTCATAAATATGACACCTGATTTTGTGATGCTAAAAGAAAAAAGCCATGAAAATGTAAGAATTTTGTTATCAAAGCCAAAAATCAGGGAGCTATTACCTGAACTTTTCCCCTTGACCTACTGATTTTGCTGAATTTCTCCAAACTACATAGACCCGAAATTAAAGGGCACCCAGTGAGTCACTGAATACTCTTCAATTTGCTTTAAGGGTAGTGTAAACAGTTAAGAAATTTAAACCTGTTCTGAAGTTCAGCACACAACTGTCTGCCAAGGAACCCCCAAATCTTGACCAACTCATAAAATAAATTTTCCCAGAAGTTTTACTATATCTGCATAACCAAGCATGGAAGGCTTATAGTCAAAAGCAAGATTTTTTTTTTCCTTTTATGTGCAGAAAAGAAGAGAAGAATTAAGCTAGACTGGGCTGGGAATGAGGGATGATCATATGAAGGAACTATGGCAATGGAAGTGGTTGTGTAAGCCAGAGGAAAATAATGCAAATGCAATGGAAATCTGGGAAATGGTAGAATGCACCAGGAAAAGGCTAATTTGAATACTTTTCAGTCCTATTGGTAAAATAACAGGAAAACATAAAGCAGCATTTTTAAAAGATATTTTAATGCTGGCAGGTGTTGAAACACCTGGGTGCCAGCAGTGAAAAAGACATACTGGTATGAGAACAGCATCTGGAATTAAAGACAGGGTGAAATTCCATGTATAAAAGCCAAAATCACTCACTGGTTAGGGTCTGGCTGAAATATTTACCTCCAATTCCCACAGACAGGTGTGTGTTTAGAGTCTGGGACCATGTGCAGGATTTTTACAGAGCACTGATTCCATATTTGTGGTTCTCAGACTGTAATTGTGCTATCAGTCCTTGCTGTGACTATATAGTTAAATAAAGGCCAAGCAGGGTCAGCACAGGCTCCTAAATGAGTTAATTGAATATTAATGACCATGAGTGAACTATGTTTTGTCTGTAAGAAGCAATGAATGTCAGATTTGTGCTGTGTGAACCATGTACATCACCCCCAACAATGTTTAAATCTCTTCAAAATGGGCAGACCAGCAGAGAATTAGTGATGTTGGTGGGCTTTGGGTTCTTTTTTCCAGCCTGTTACAACTGAAATATATCCAACTGCAGGGATATTTTTAGTTAATTTTCTGTATAGAACTTGTAGAAGGAGCTGCTGATTATTTGTAATCAGGAAATTTAGTTACTCTACTAGATATAACATGATAAATGCATTTCAAGACCAACAAAAAAGAGTAGAGAAAGCATTTTTGCCATTGTCTGCAACTAGATTGAATTTATTCTTTGAACAATGCAGATCTGAATCAGAATTGAATTACTTATCTCTGAAAAATGTGGCTTACTTTGTAAAATTTCCTGAAGACAGCTGTACTTTTGAAGCAATTTTCCTTCTTATTCTTCAGCTTCAAGTGTTTTTGCAGGCTGAGGAAGAATTTCATTTCAAAGCTGAAACAAGCCGGCAAAAAAAATGTGTTTCAGTGAGAAAAATGAGACTCCAAATCCCAGACCTGGGGCTGTGGCTGTTTGTCTCCACACGAGGGGCAGAACTTGCACAGAGCCAGCTCTTCCCTTTCCATTGGCACTAAAATTCCAGAGGAACTCGAGGCAGAGGTGGGAGCATCATCCTGGAAATTAGAGGTGGAAACCAGTGCTTGTTCCACTCTCCTTGTCCTTAAAAAGAACCTGTTCAAGCTGGGTCACATTTCTCAGATCCATTCTTTCTTTTTTCCTTTCTTTCTTTTTTATTTTAAGCATTTAAATCTCTCTCCAGTTTCCATCTTTTCTAGAATTAAAAAAATGAAAGAAATCCAGAAGGCCCCATTTTAATTATAACCCAACAATTTATTAATAGAACAGTAATGAAGTTTCTGAAATTTGATTTCTTAATCAGGGACCATTGTTATTTTTGTGCCAGATTTGAGAGTTTAATTTTGGGTACTTCTTTCCAACCTCTGAAATTTTAATCAGAAGTTTTAAGTGTACATGTCAATGAGAAGTTAAAGGCCAAATTTAATAACATTTTCTACCTTGGGAAATTAAAAGAAGAACCTCACTCTGAAACCCATTATTAACAGTAGATCTTAATTAAACACAGTTATGATTCTCAATATTTGACTGTGTGAAGAGATTGGTTTCAGTATTTTTCCCTTTTTGGCATTCAACAAGTGCAGAATATTCAATTGTTAAACTTTTAACTACGTGTAAATAAGTTGTTTACTGCAATGTATTTGTAATTTTTAATTAGAGCATGTTGTTTTCTGGTTTTGTGGCTTATCATGGCAATATATTTTTATTACCTACTGTGCTCTTGGATTTTAAATTATTTATGTAAACATATTGTTTATTCTCAGTAAGCAATGTGACTCAATGCTTCAGAAATATCTTCATAAGAAAAGTTTATTACAGCTCTAAAGCATATCTAATTCATTAAGTAGAATTAAAATGCAGCATTTGAAGCTGGAGAACTCAGAACCCAAACTGCACCGAGTTTCATGGGAACATGAAAGGCTGCAGAGATATCTGAAGCTCTGTATGTAAATAAGGTATATATTTATGGGTAATATTTATAGCAAGCTACCCCACATAGTGCAGGTGGCTCCTGGAAGCACAGGGACACTGTTTCCAAGTCTGGAAATAGGAGTAAAGTCATTTGTTATTGTCAGCATTTCCAAATAACGGCTACTGCTCTGTCTGGAAGGGAATGGACTCTGTTTCTCTTGATATAAATTGCATTTTTCTCTGCTGCAAACTAAGCATTAATGGGGCTTCCTGCTGGAGCATCAGAGAGGGGAAGGAGGAGGCTGAACCCAACTGAGTTAAGAGTGATTGTGGGTTTTGCTGCCTTGAAGAAGGTTCTAGTTAGTCTCTTCTGCCAAGCCTCCAGTGAAAGGATGAGAGGAGAGAGAGCCCTCAGTTTCCACGAGGAGGTTCAGATTAAACACTGGGAAAAAATTCACTGCAAGGGTGGTTGGTATCAGAATAATCTGCTTGGGGAGGTGGTGGAGACACAGCTCTGGAAGTGTCAA